TCCCAAGACCCCAAAATCCCTATTACCCTTTACAAAGTAAAATGTATAGATATACTAAAACCAGACCTGAAGATTTCTTCTTCCTTCCAATAAATGTAAGGACTATATTACCATGATGGCGAACCTGTGGGACATGTGCCAGAGGTGGCACGCAGTGCCCTCTCTGATGGCATGCGAGCCGTCGCCCCAGTTCAGTTCCGCTGTGCATGCACATGTGCCTCCCATCTGCCAGCTGGCCTTCGGGTCTCTGCCACACATGTGTGGGGGTGGGGCGCATGCAGTGGGGTGCATGCGTGTGGGGCGGGGCGTATGCATGGGGGGATGCATGGGTGGGGTGGGGTGGGGTGCATGCATGGGGGGTGGGGTGCATGTGTGTCAGGAAATTTCTCCTTAGTTCTAGGTTGCTTCTCTCCTTGATTAGTTTCCACCCATTGCTTCTTGTCCTGCCCTCAGGTGCTTTGGAGAATAGCTTGACTCCCTCTTCTTTGGGGCAGCCCCTGAGATATTGGAAGACTGCTACATTGGAAAGTCAGGTTTTTCAGCAGCTGTGATGTTTGCAGTCAGTTGCACTTCCAGCCAATTCCTTTATTTTTAACAAGTTGTTTCTAAGATCTAAAAATGACCCTCTCTCCCCCCCACCTCCCTAGCCCCCAATTTAAAGATAATTATTTGGGGAAGCAACTCATTTACGCCCAATGATGTCTTTTTAAACTGCACTTACAGAGCTGTTTTACTTTAATCCAAATTGGCTAAAGATTAAACTAAACCAGGCATTAACTGTGTGTATGCATTTACAACATACCTTTTGTGTGCAGGAAGCAATAGAGCCAAATATTGTACTAGTCTCTGGCAGGAGTGGGCTTCAAAAATTTTAGCAAGGGGTTGTCTGCCCGGTTGCTGGGTGGGTGTGGCCATGGTGGGTGTGGCCTAGTCTGCCTCCTGCACCATGGTGAGGGGCAGTGTTTTTGCCCTCCCCAGGCTCCGGAGGCTTTTCTCGAGTCTCCGGGAGGGCAAAAAAGGCCTCCCCAGGCTCTGGAGACCCTCTGGAGGCTGGAAACGCGCCCGTCTCTGGCCTTCCCGAACTTCCGGTAGGCCTGTTTTTCACCCTCTCCAAGCCTGCATCCAAAACGGGCCACCTGGGGACTCCTGGGAGGGGAGGGGAGGGGAGGGTGGGGCCAGCAAGGAATGGGATTTGGGGGTTCTCTGAACTGCACAGAATCTTAGCTAGAGGTTCTCCCAAACCCTGCAAACTCCCAGCAACCCACCTTTGGTCTCTGGGCCAGAGAAATAAGTTAAGGGGAATTTAATGTTTCCTTTCATTTCCTGCATTTTAACAACAACAACAAAATCTTTCTGAAATTGCTATTAGTATTTTAAACACAGCTTCCTTGATGCCTTTGGGAGTTTTCTATGAAATGCAAACAGCAGTTTCGAATGAAAGTTTTAATCAGGACAGTGAATGAGAGAAAAGGATGAACTTTCCCTCTCCAGAGGTCTGCTAAGGTTCCATTCACAGAACAGCAGTTAACCTCCCACTGTGTTTGGCTTCAAAATCGTAATGTCAACCCTGCGTGGAATTTCATCATTACCCCTTTAACTTTAGATAGGATCTAAGAAATCAAGAGAGTTTTGATTTGTTCTGTGCGGTGATAATTGATTAACTACACATGGTAAGGTTGAAGGCTGAAAGGAGTCGTAAGTTACCCCTGATTAGTGAAATCGGTTCAGTTTGTTTAGCACACATTTTTTTCCCCCTTAAGCTAAATTATAACCTTTTTGGTGGCAAGTAATAAATAGCTTTGTCTATAAACCAATATGGAGGCTAAATAAAGAAGGAAGGAAGGGCATGGCTTCCCCAGGAATGTGGTTTCCTGACTATGTTCTGAGGCCAAAAAAAAAATGCAACTCATCATGAATATTGGAACAACTATATCAGCAGAGAAACTCAAAAAAACATCTATGTGTGGAAACGAATTGCTCTTTGCCTAGAGCAGTGAAAGTTAACCTTTTACGTCACCGCGTGCCAACCCCATTTCCTGCAGGCTGGAAATGGCACTCAAAACCATCGCGCCTGGACCATGCGGCCTTGCTGGCCTTCGCATGCGCGGGAGTGCTGAAACCCGGAAGAGCAGCGTTCCATTGTGCATGCACGCAGCAGCACCCAAACTTCCAGTTTCCGGTGCGGAGATGCGCCTGAGGAACAGCTGGCCAAAGCACGCATGTGGGTTTGGGTACCGGTGCGCGCATGCATGATGGAACGCTGCCCTTCTGGGTTTCGGCACTCCTGCATACACGAAGGCCAGGTGACTGGTGCACTTGTGTGCATAGGAATGCGGAAGAGGAGCCAGCGAGGCTGCGCAGCCTGCGCAGGATGGTTTTGCGTGCCGCTTCCAGTTGCCGTTCCATAGGTTCGCCAATACAGGCCTAGAGGTCGATGGGGAAACTATTAAAAGTCTCAATTTTTAAAATGTGCTCACAACTGAGCAGGTTTTAATACAAATGGCCCTCGACTTACAACCAGAATTGAGCCCCAAATTTATGTCGTTAGGTGAAACATTTGTTAAGTGAGCTTTGCCCATTTTACAAGCTTTCTGCGCAGAAGCAAAGTGCTCAAGTGCGCGTACACGATCCCGTTGCGAACCGGTAGTAAAGGTAAGTAGAACCCACCCCTGGATCACATGACCCTGGAACACTGTAACCGTCATAAATATGAGTTAGATGCCAGGCATTCTGAATTCTGATCATGTGACCATGGGGATGCTGTAATGGTCATAAGTGTGAAAACCGATCCTTTTTTCAGTGCCGCTATAAACTTAAATGGTCACTAAACAAACTGTTGTAAGATCAGGACTAGCTGCACTGAAGTAATACCCCCCCAAATGTTGGAGATGTGAATGTGATGATGCAACTTATTATCATATATGGTGGACTTGTAAGAAAATTAAGGCATTTTGGATAAAAATTTGGTGGGTGATGCAGAACATTTTGAAAAAAAGGTTGAAATTTTCTCCTCAATTGTTTTTATTGGGTATAACGATGGATTGTACAGCATTAGAGACTAAACTGATTTTGAATTTAATATCAGCAGCTAGGCTGTTGGTAGCGCAATACTGGAAGAAGGACTCTTTGCCTACTATTGAAGAATGGACATTGAAAGTAGCGAATTTAGCAGAAATGGCGAAAATTTCAGTGTATTTGAAGGACTATACACAAGAAAGATACATATCGGAATGGAGAAGATGGATTGATTATATTCAAAATAAGTATCAGACAAGAAAATATCAAATAGCTTATGAATGAATGTTAAATTCTAGCCATAGTGGAGTTAAGGTTTCAGGGGGGATTTGGTAGTTTAAGAATAAGTTAGGTTAATTTAGCGTATGATTGTTAATTGAAATACCTTGTATTTTGCTCTGGGAAGTCTGGGGGGGGAGGGTGGGATGGGAAGGGGATGGGGGTGGTGGGGAGGGGAAAAGGGTGGGGGAATATTGGGGGGGGATTTTCTTTGTAAAACTTTTCAATAAAAAAAAAAAGTAGTGCCCCCCAAAATGGGTCAAAACCTGGCACAGAATAAGCTGGGCAGAGACCCGATTAGTAAACTTGTTATTTTTTTCACTGACTCACATTTTTCAGTTGGACTGATGATCCAGGTTGAATTATTAAACCAGGTGCCTTCATATCCTTTGATAATTTGGAAAGGCTTTTGACCTGAGAAAAATAGAATGACTCAATTTTTTGAACCAAGTTGGAATGATCAAACCGAGCAATGATCTGAATCAAACCATTGGTCTCCTCTGAATAGGTCCGAAACCAGGGGTGGGCTTCAAAAATTTTAGCAAGGGGTTCACTGCCCCGGTTGCTGGGTGGGTGTGGCCTAGTAGGCCTCCTGCACCACAGCAGGGGGCATTTTTGACCTCCCCTGGCTCCGGAGGCTTTCCTCGAGCCTCCGGGAGGGTGAAAACAGTCTCCCCAGGCTCTGAAGACCCTCTGGAAGCCAGAAACAGGCCCATTTCCTGCCTTCCCGATCTTCCAGTAGGCCCGTTTTTCACCCTCCCCAAACCTCCATGTGTATCCTGCACTTACCTGCATCCAAAACGGGCTGTGTGGGGACTCCTGGGAGGGGAGGGGAGGGCGGGGCCAGCCAGGAGGGTGATTTGGGGGTTTTCTGAACTGCATAGAATCTTAGCTAGAGCGTCTCCCGAAACCCCGTGAAGCCCCAACAGCCCACCCCTGTCCGAAACCAGCTTGCAAACCTTAGCAAAGACTTTAAGAAGAGGAAGGGAGGAGGAAATAAGGAAATAAGAAACATACCTTAATTGATGGAATCGTGGAGGAACAAGATGTACTACAGGGAGTTAAATCAGAGATTGTTTAACAGAAATCTGATCCCCAGAGAACTTTGCCTGTCATTACAATAGTGAAGATGCTTGAACAAGCCATGTACTCTTCACTCACATTCATAATATATGTGTTATCGTTAACAGACTGAAATACAAAAAAAGTAGGAAAAAAGCACAATAAAAAAAAGACTGTTTAGATTTAGAAAAATACTAAAAAAAGAAAGAAGATAAATCGCCTTCTAATGATATTTCCAATCACTCCCTTCCATTTATATCGCAAACCTCTAGCCATTGTTTAAATATTTAAGCTTTGCATTAAACATTAAGTAACGATTGCTAGTTTCTATTTAAGTCTTAGAAACCGTACTGCAGATGGCTAAATCTGCCTTGCTCTGTGATATATTTTACCCAAGAGAGTCAATCCTGCTTCAATTTGGTTAAAAAAAAAATCTGTTGTGGACATATACTATCAATTTTGCCATTGTATCTTAGTCTCCAGTTTGATGTAGTAGGTAAAGTATTTCTTTTCCAACTGGTTTAAAATATGGGCCATTAATGGTGTGACATGGGACTGCAACATGAAAAAGTGCCATAATCTGATACTCTATGAAATAACCCATAAATCTGAAAAAGCACAAGATCACAGATATGCAAATAACATCGAGTACAGCTTCCATAGTTTATTCAAGACTTGTACAGGTACCAAAACATAATGAAATAGAGTATTTTTATTACAACTTATAAAACAATTAAATAGTACAATTTATGCTTTGAGTTTGTTCATTTTTTTTTCCTTTTACATCACAATCTATACTTCTATGCAACATTTCTTTGCATTGCCATCACTTACTTGGGAAGCCAGTGATAAAATTAAAAAGAAGGGAGAGCTATGCATTAATAAATTAATATTTTTTTACATCAAATAATAAAATATGACAGTTGTAGAACAAAAATTGGTCAACACCTTGTTGGAGAGAAAGATCTCTCTCTCTCTCTCTCTCTCTCATTTTAAAATGTTCAAGGAAAGTCTACTTAGAACTCAAGATTGTTGGAATAATCATTCCTTAATGCATCACATTTCATGTTGTTCCTTGCAAAAAAGGAACTGCTAATTTTGACTGACCACTTTCTGACATTAATGTTGACATGTCTAATTTTAGATCAGAAATGATAGTTTGGAGAGCCATAAATCTGAGCTACATTCATCCAGGGATGATGTGGGATTGGCTGGAAAAAGGACAAAAATGCCCAGGATAGCCATGCCCCAGAAAATTACATCAAAATATAAGCTTCTTTAGCTGTATTGGTTTTAGCGAGGAGATCTCCTTGTACTGTAGTTTACCGTTTGAGCATTCACAATATATTCTTTCCATAATGGATGCAAGTTCTTTCTATTTATTCCACGAATGGTGGATCCACTAATATCAGTTGTACTGCAAACATGGGCTGTTGAGTGTATTTATGTGCCAACTGTCCAGTGGTGAAATCCAATTTTTTTTTACTACTGGTTCTGTGGGCGTGGCTTAGTGGGCATGGCAGGAGAAGGATACTGCAAGATCCCCATTCCCTCCCCACTCCTGGGGGAAGGATATTGCAAAATCTCCATTCCCACCCACTCTGGGGCCAGCCAGAAGTGGTATTTGCCGGTTCTCCAAACTACTCCAAATTTCCACTACCGGTTCTCCGAACTGCTCAAAATTCCCGTTACCGGTTCTCCAGAACCTGTCAGAACCTGCTGGATTTCACCCCTGCAACTGTCCTAGATCAAACGGGGGAAAATATTTTGCAGCAGAGAAACACAAGTGTACAGGACCATCAGTTTGACTAACTAATACAGAGCTTCTTTTTCTGATAAAGAAAACACAGAATTTTTTTTTTTAGAAAACCAGGCAGTTATCCTTGGCTCAATTGTCATGTTCATCAATATCCTTTAAGAACAGGTTTCTGACTTACCGTGAAACACTTAACAGCTGTATTTGCACAACGCTTAACCAGATGACTGTATGGTATGGTTAGTTTATGGTTTAACGTGTTCCATAAAGAGGTTGGGTTTGTATCAGTGCTGGGTTTCTACAGGTTCGCCCTGGTTCAGGAGAACCGGTAGCAGTGGCGATGAGAGGCTCCGCCCACCCACCCGGACGTCATCATGGACACTCTGCGCATGCGCGCTCACAGTTCCGAACCGGTAGCAAAGGTAAGTGAAAACTACTACTGGTTTGTATTATATGGCAAATAATAAAAAGAACACAAGACAAGGATAAAATTAGCATGTTACTGTATCTGAATGCAGTTGGTAGATCTTTAAATAACCTGTTCAAAATGTTATACAAAAATAGCCAGTGCATTTAATCCTTGAGCCTATAAATCCGTAACTGTGTTTGTGTTTAGCACGACTGATCATATCTGGAACATAGAAAAACGCAGGTTCGTTTTCTGGCCCTGCTTATATAAATGAATCCATAAAGGAAGAAATTTCTTTCAAGTGGTTTGCAGATGGAATGGATAAAAGGGAAAAAAAAATAACTATTTGTCTGCAATAAAAGTTCAAGTAATAGCAGTTTGCATTTATGTTTGAATTCAGGAAGATGGGTCTGAAATGGTTTGATGAATTTCATGCAATTCCTACTATTTCGGCCACTGTTGCAATTTCCTTTTCATTTCTTTTAATGTTTGAATAGAAAAAAAAAGGTCTGTTTTTTACAAGGGACACCCCAATTCTGAAACAGTCAGCACAAATCAACTTCAATGTTGAATGTAAACAAGAAAATGGTGGAATTTTTGAATGCCTGTCAACGTGAGTGACAATAAGGCAAAGCCCATAGGTAAGAGGTGAAATTCTCGCAATACAACACAGAAATGCTATGTTAAAAAAAAAAAATTTCAATGGGGTTTTGTTGGATGAATATCCCAAGACATGCCAGCCCATTCAAGTGGCTAGTAAGCTATGATTCATTTATTGCTAAACATGGAAAGAGTAACACAATAAAGCAAGGAATTCCATTTTGATATAGCCCTTAGTTTCCCAGAAGCACCTGAAATAGAAGAAGCACCTTTTAAGTCTTGTTTGTGCAGCATAGTGTTTGTCTAGCTATCACACCTCTGTCGTGTATAGCAATTCACAGTCTCAGCAGCCAGCGTTGTAATAAGCCTAAAGGACCTTCTCCTTCTTATGAAGGACTCTGCTGACAAACACCACATTAGCTAACATGTCTCCATAGAATGTTCTAGTTCCCTATTTTAGGCTCTCTGTATTGACTCTTATGGTGGAAAAAGTTGGACCACTGTGCCAAATATGCCAATCCAGTGGGGTCGGGATCAGCTTTGACCATGAAGTGGAAAGATTTCTTAGTCTTATTCCATCCTATGTTCAAAATCCAGTCCTTGAAGATTCATCACTGCGATTACTGCTCCATGTTTAGAGAGTTATTGTTTTCCTTGACAATTTGGGTGACGTTTGGTTCTGGAAAACTCAATCTTGACAAAATGGAATCAACCTGTGGAAGCCTCAGCCTGACATGTTCAAGTCAGTTCTTCCATGTGCAGGATTTGCAGCACTGTTTGCCATAAAATTTATGATTGCAGACACCATGTTGAGGAACCAGGTGGCACCAAGCGAAGAAGTCCACACAAGAAGGATCTTCTGTTTTGATGAAATCACAGACAGTATATTTAGCTTACAATTCAAATTAAACACAGTTAACATTTCATTCTCTGTGTGCTGTATAGCCTTCATGTCCTGTCGATTTTTTTAAAAAGAAACGGGGACTTTGGATATACAATAAAGCTGTTTTCTGTGGATTTACTTGCTAGAAAGAAGCTATCAGTTCACAGTTTGTGAAATTAGTATTTTGCATTATATAGCATTTAGCAGAGTAGTGCTGAGCTAGTTGAGGAATGGAAAGAAAAGCATTTCCATATACAGTAGTGGCCAAGATGGAAACCTTTTGGGAAAAGTGTATTTTCTAAAACTAGCTAATAACACTACTTTTTTTTTTTTGAATAATACCCTAAAATTATATATCAATAGAAAGATAATTTAATCAAGAATGTAATGCAATAACTTTTAGGAAGGATTTGCTATTAGACTAGCAGTTATAGTATGAAGAAGAAAAGTGAAACATGTAGAAAAAACGAGATCTACAAAAATGATCACCATGTCAGTTAATACTTAGCTGGGTAACCTTTAGCATGAATTATGGCCTTACAACGTCTTCCCATGGAATGAACCAAGTCTTTTAGTTCTGCAGCTGTTCTAATGTGAAACCAAGATTGAAGGATTGCTTCTATTAACTGGGTTTTATTGCTGGGTCGCTTCTGAATAACAAGTTGCTTTAGTTGGCTCCATAGATTTTCAATTGGCTTAAGGTCTGGGCTATTCCCAGGCCATTCCAGCAGTGGAATAGGATTATCTTGAAACTCCAAAAAAAGTGGTGTTATTAGCCATCAAACCTCAAAAATACACTCTTCCCAAAAGGTTTCCACAATTTTGGCCACTACTGGTACAGTACACAAAAAGAATGCCCATAGACTGTATTTATTATATACATTATCTTTTCAGCTCAAATCAGTTGTTGTAAGATACTGCACAGCCAAATAATTGATTTGTGGTTCATGTTCTCTTCTTAAAGCATGCGATCATGTAGGTCCTGTACATTAAAAAGCAAACTACATGAGCATTAATGTACTGGAATGAGTTAGGAAAGACTGCAGCAAATGTCAAGCTGTTTCTGAAATGAAAAACCACCTTTCAGTTTATTCTTAATAGCTCATAGCATAAAGGCAGAGGGAATTGCCAACACAATATCAAAACATCTAGTTTAGTATTGTCTACGGTAGAGATGGGGGATCTTCTGGACTGAGAGCAGGGGTGGGCTACTGAGGGTTCGCAGGGGTTCGTGAGAACCTCTAGCTAAGATTCTGTGCAGTTTGGAGAATCCCCAAATCTACCGGCCCTGCCCACCCTACCCCGCCCCTCCCAGGAGTCCCCAGACAGCCTGTTTTGGATGCAGGTAAGTGCAAGGCACGCACTTGGGGAGGGCGAAAAACGGGCCTACTGGAAGTTTGGGAATGCCAGAAACAGGCTCATTTCCAGCCTCCAGAGCTGGGGAGGCTGTTTTCACCCTCCCGGAGGCTCAAGGAAAGCCTCCAGAGCCTGGGGAGGGCAAAAACACCCCCTTGCCGTGGTGCAGGAGGCCAACTAAGTCATACCCACCATGGTCACGCCCACCAAGCAACCGGGCAGAGAACCTCTTGCTAAAATTTTTGAAGCCCACCCCTGACTGAGAGATACCCCAACAGTTATGAGAATGAAAGAGCCCCTGGATGATTTATTTATTTATTTATTTATTTATTTATTTATTCAATTTATATACCGCCCTTCTCCTAGTGGACTCAGGGCGGTGATGGAGATGATGATGATGATGATGATGATGATGATAGTAATTAGGGTACTTCTCTCCTATCCCACACAGCCCCTTTTCCTGGGCATTTAGAATTGGTTTGACCATTTTCCTTCTTAACTCTGATTTCATTAAGTTCCAATTCCCCAAATGTTATTGATTTTTAGCCAAATGTAGTCAAAAATGTGGTATGGCTCCGAAAGAAGGACTGGCGGTGTGCTTTCCTGGGACCACCTGATGTCAGTTTCTGCTTTCCAGGAACCAATTGTAACTTCCCAGAGTTGCAGATTTTAAAAAAAAATAAAACCAGCCTTATCAAGACTGGCATTGACCCTGGGGATTTTTGCAGACAAAGCAGAGGTAACATAGCTGTATAACTTTCCATAACTTCTCTTTAGAGAAAGAGAAGAAAAACTCTTGGCTGATACAGCTTCTCCAGGAAAAAAAAAAAAGCCTTTGATGTTCTGAATTCATTGCAACTCATCTTCCACATAGGAGCATCCCGTTAGGACTGGAGAATTGAACCATTTTTGCCCCCAAAACTGTTTGCTATTTGTGTTCAATTCTGGAGGAGCAGCGATGAAATGTGAAGCTTTGGTCTTCTTTGTAAATAGCTCAGCCGGCCACAGCATGCATGGTTTTCTTCCAAGAAAACTAAATTGACTTATAGCTTTGCATTTTACAGGACATAACAAGATACTCCAGACGACCAATGGAGCAGATCAGCTTGTCTTGAGAAACATGTTCATTCTCCCTAAAAAAAAACTCTCTTTTTTCCCCCTCTTTTTTGCCCCCATCATCTCTCCCTAATGTTTCCCGGAGCAACGTGGTGGGTGAATGGAAGTGTTTGGCTTCAGTGCAATTCAAGCACAGCTGGCCGTGTTCGCTGGTGGAAACGGATTAAAACCACAGTGAGGAAATAATTGATCTCTCGAGTCCAGAGATCTAGTTGTGAGAAAGCAAAAAAAAAAAAAAAAGGGTTTCTGCAGCTGGGAAAGGAGAAGGCTAAACCCAAAATGAGTAATAGGATCCATTCAGAAGGGTTTTATTTTTCTACTTTTGCTTCCTTGTATTAGACAGAAATTGTTTCGGTGTCTATAGGGCACCGCTAAAAATGAGTAAGAGGAACCACATTAATTTACTGGAATAATACTTTTTTCAAAGGTCCAGGATTCCGTGCATATTCCAGAAAGGCTATGTTCTGGAAGGAATCATGCAGAAGCTTTAGGACAGTGTTTCTCAACCTTGGTAGCTTGAAGATGGGTGGACTTCAACTCCCAGAATCCCGCTGGCTGGGGGATTCTGGGAGTTGAAGTCCACCCATCTTCAAGCTTCCAAGGTTGAGAAACACTGCTCTAGGAGGAAACAAGTTCTGGAAGGAATAAGAAAGCCATGATTTTGGACAGAGAATCTTTCTTTCCTAGCTATGACGCAGAAACTTTTGGTGGCTTAGAGCCGTGATGGCGAGCCTATGGCATGCGTGTCAGAGGTGGCACGCAGCGGCCTCTCTGATGGCACGCGAGCTGTCGTCCCAGTTCAGCTCTGCTGCGCATGCGCACATGCCTCCTACCGGCCAGCTGGTCTTCGGGTCTTTGCTGCACATGCACGGAGGATGGTGCAGCTCCCTGTTGCCGGTCAGCTCCACAATTAATAAGGCTTTCAGTTAGGACAGGTAGAGGAAAAAGGATGCCATGCTAGGAGGAGACTCTATGGTGGGGGAACCAGACTTCCGGTCGGCTCCAGAATTGAATGAGGGGCTTCCGGTTAGGACCTTTGTGGCTCTTTGAGTGTTTAAGGTTGCCGACCCCTGAACTAAGCATTGCAAGTTATGAGAATGCAGACATTGGGGTCTTTAACTGGTCTAACGGTTGAAAACCCCGTCAGTGTTTTAGATTTCGTAAAACCGTTTTTACCTTTCTTCTCAGGAGCAAGGCAGAAATTAGTATTGCAGGCTCGCGACATTGCAGGCTTCTGATGAAGCAGGCACCCGGTGGCTGGCTGTCCTTGAAGGAGACACTGCACACTCCGTGTTTGTACTCCCCCACCACATGTCACTGTGCACTGTATGTGGGATGCAGGAATAAGAAATTAAACCTTCACACGTTCCCCATTTTCTGCACACAGGCAGTCCTTGACTTATGCACCCAACGGAGTCCAAAATTTTCATGGCTAAGCAAGAAGTTAAGTAAGTTGTGTCCCCTTTTTACGACATTTTTGGGGGGGTCACACTTGTCGAGCGAATCTCTGCCATTGTTAAATTATCAGAGCTCCCTGTAACATCATTGCAAAAAAGGCACTAAGAGTTGTAAACCTTATTTTACGAAGTTTTCTCTCTGGTAACGCTGTACTTCAAACTAGTGCATACAAAACCTTTGCCAGACCTATCTGTGATTACTGCTCACCGGCCTGGAACCCTCACTGTATTTCAGACATCAATACAATAGAGAGGGCCCAGAGATATTTTATCAGAAGAGTACTCAAATCTTCTGCTCAAAATAAAATTCCCTATACCACCCTGCTTGAAATTTTAGGCCTGGATAGCCTCAAACTACACCGTCTACGTTCCGACCTAATCTTAGTACACAAGATTATTTACCATAATGCCCTACCTGTTAATGATTTATTTCAACCGTAATAACACAAGGGCTATCAATAGATTCAAACTCAATGTAATTCGCTCTAATCTTGATTGTAGGAAATATGACTTCTGCAATAGAGCAGTAAATGTCTGGAACGCCCTACCTGATCCTGTTGTTAATCTTGCTAATCCCCATACCTTTTACCTTAAACTGTCTACTGTGGACCTTTCACGATTCTCAAGAGGTCCCTAAGAGGGCATGCATAAGTGCACCAGAATGCCTACCATCCCTGTCCTACTGTCCCCATTTATATGTAATCATTTTATGTGTTTATGGCTATGTTTTGCTTATTTATATCCATTTATTTGTGCCAAAAAAATTTGCATGCGTCCATGTTTATATCTATACTTCTACTTGTTTCCTTGTACTTAACTGACAAACAAACAAGCAAACCAACAAATAAATAAATAAATAAAATTAATCATGCAGTTGTTAAAGCAAATCTGGCTTCCCCCATTGACTCTGCTGGTCAAAAGCCATCTGGGAAAGATTACAAATGGTAATCAGATGAACCCTGGGGGTAGTGCGATTGTCATAAATGCAGTTTATGACAATTTGGGCACTTGTCAATTGCCAAGTGCCCAGATTTTGATTATGTGACCATGGGGATGCTGCAACTGTCGTAAGTGTGAAAAATGGTCATAAGTCATGTTTTGTATAGCGCTATTGTAACTTTGAAGGGCCACAAAACAAATGCTTGTAAATTGAGGACTACCTGTAATCTTTCTGCATAAAGTTGCAGGTTTTACCTGCCAATACAATTGAAAGTTCCCTATACAGCAGTTGAGTTCATAGGATGAATTTGGGCTATTTAGTTTCTCCATGTTCATAAACTCCATAGAATGGCTGTTATGAAAATAAAGTGAAAGGAAATCACATTTATGCCATTTTGACCTTCTCCAAGGAAAGCTACAACTTATATACAATGAACAACTTTAATAAACTCTTCTCTTTTTAATGATCTCTTTATAGAGATTATGACTATCTCCAAAGCTATCAAAAAGTATTTTGGCTGAACTCAGGAACATTTTAATACTTTTTTTAAAAAAGAATAAATAGTTGCCATAGAAGTTACTCTCCATTCCTATGTCTATTTATTGTCAGTGATTCCAGTTTATATTAAAGTTAATTCCAGTTCATTAACAGTTTGTTTTAGGTTGTAGACATTGTGCCCTATAATTGATATTTTTCAATGAACATATGAAGTTATTTAGTAAGATATACCTACTTTGGCATTAGTACCCATTTTTTCCCTCTACGGACTTAATTATTATAACTGAGATTAAGTCAATTTTTTTCCCTAGTTAGCATAGTTTCTAGTTGAAATCTAGAGACTTCAATCTAGATTTTATTGCTCCAGGTCCAACACTGTACTACACTTGCTCTCATTGGAACATGACTCCATCTAGAACATTCAACATAAAGGTAAAGATTCCCCTTGCACATATGTGCTAGTCGTTCCCAACTCTAGGGGGCGGTGATCATCTCCGTTTCAAAGCCAAAGAGCCAGCGCTGTCCGAAGATGTCTGGCTGGAAGTTGGCGAACAGGCCATTTTCGGCCAGTGGAGGGGTGGGGAAGGCTGTTTTCACCCTCCCCAGACTCCTAGAAAGGCTCTGGAGGCTGGGGAGAGCAAAAAACGGGCCTACTGTGCCATCGCGTGCTAGGAGCAGGGGTAACATGGGGGAGTTGCGTGCGCATGCACAGGAGCAGGACACATATTATTATGAGTGTGGGCACGCACATGCCGACACCCCCTCCCCCCTGCTCCTGGCACGTGATGGCAAAAAGGTGAGCCATCACTGCCCTATACCATTCCAGGCAAATAGCTGTCCTGTCTCTTCTTTAAAACCTCCAGAGATGGAGCAGCACAACTTCCGGAACGAAGCCATTTCATTGATTAATTATTCTCATTGATTTCTCCTTAGCTGTAGGTTAGAGTTCTTTTTCATGATCTTCCACCCCGTTACTTCTTGCGTGCCCCTCTGGTGCTTTGTAGAATAGGTTGAGCTTTCTTCTTCGTCTTAGAGCCCCTCAAGCACTAGAATTTTGTTCAATCTGGTTCAATATTATCTTCTCTCTTGACATCAGAACTCCAAATATACAGAAGTACATTAAGTGGCCTTTTAACATCTTTTTAACCTCTTTCATCTAGAGTCACTTGATAGCAGAGAATAACCTTTTGTGGGCAAACTGTCTGCTGTCCCAAAAACTCCTCATCTGCTTTTGCTCACTGCCAAATCTGAAAACCCGTCAACTAGGCTGAACTTGCAGAGAAGTGCTGAGAGATAAGCACGCTTTAAATTACTTCTTCTTTGCTTCTTTGTTGGAATTTATATTGCCATGGGCAGTTAGGAAATTTGAGGAACTTGCTCTGCTATTCTACGCAGGAACAAATAATGAGTTATTACAAGTCTACCTAGAAGGAATTCCCTGAAGCACTGATGATGTATGTGAATTTGTCTACCAATGCTGTGTCCACAAGACAAATACAATCATTTCCATCAGATTATTAAACCTGAGCATCCTCTATGGCCTGTCAAATGAATCTTAGAGACAGGTGACCCATGCAATGTAATCAGTTCCAAAACACAGAAATGTGTTTGCAAGGCAACACACTAATCCAGACATCATAGTAGTTAGGGAAATCCAGACAGCCTTTTGTTGGTCCTTGAATTGTGTCTGAAAACCTAAATGGTTCAAGTACAGTGCAAGTTTTTGAAGAATGTGTTGGGAAAAAGCACAAAATGCACAGATTACAACTGCAAGGATTTGGTGAACTAAGCGACAATCTTCAATTGCAATAACTCAATTGCAATAGCTCACTAGTACCGTGTTTCCCCCAAAATAAGACCGGATCTTATATAATTTTTTGCTCCAAAAGACACATTATGGCTTATTTTCCGGTTAGGTCTTATTTTGGGCGAAATACAGTACTAAACACCTCTGTCTGCTCATGATCTTAACTGGGGCTAATTTTTGGGGTAGGGCTTATATTACGAGCATCCTGAAAAATCATGCTAGGCCTTATTTTCAAGTTGGGTCTTATTTTTGGGGAAACAGTATAATTACACATAATCCACAAATTACGATGGCAATGAAGTATGCTCACCATGGTCGTTAGTTGTGATAGTCATAAAACAGGACATCATGAGACTGGTTTGATTTTATTACCATTAGATAGAAGTTAAAAATTGTGGGGAAAAAGTCTTGTCTCCAGATCTACCTATGGGCCTCCTGGAGGCATCCCATGGTGGCTGTAGAAAAGACAAGATTGATCCAAATGGACATTAAGTTGATTCTTATGTATCATCTTATATGCTTATTGCTTTTAATTATTATTCCCTTCCTGGAGAGGGAAGCACCCACAGGTCCTTTTTCCAAAGATTGACCCACCATCCAAAATTTGCAATGAAGAAGCTGGCATAATTATAGGCGCCTATATGTTGGCGCCAAAGTATTGAGGCCTTTGAACTATGGTGCTGGAGAAGACTCCTGCGAGTCCCTTGGATTGCAAGATGATCAAACCAGTCAGTCCTAGAGGAGATCAACCCTGATTGCTCTTTAGAAAGCCAGATCCTGAAGATGAAACTCAAATACTTTGGCCACCTAATGAGAAGGAAGAACTCACCGGAGAAGAGCCCAATGCTGGGAACGATTGAGGGCAAAAGAAGAAAGGGATGGCAGAGAATGAGGTGGCTGGATTGAGTCACTGAAGCAGTAGGAGTGAGCTTAAATGGACTCCAGAGAATGGTAGAAGACAGGAAGGCCTGGAGGAATGTTGTCCATGGGGTCGCAATGGGTCGGACACGACTTCGCAACTAACAACAACTACAACATGTTGGCCCTTACACAATGATGATACATTTAGCTCTTTATTTCCCAGTAAGTTCAAGGACTTGCATATTCATAGCCTCTTAGTCTACACTCAAACATCCTTACCTGCTGCCAAGGTGAAGAATACCACCCTGATATCCTATTGTACAGAGGATGCATAGGACATGGTCCTTGGTGGCATACTTCTTCCAAATCAATGCTTGGCTTCTTCAGATTTCGACAGCGGCGCAATGGGAAAGTGATCAATTTGCCACCAATACTTTTCTCAATGCACTGCATTTCTCGCCTCCTAATTCCCGGCCCACAGGTAGAGGAACACTGGGGACAATAAAAGACGTACAGAGGTTCATTTAAAGCTGGTTTGCAAAACATACACAGCCTACCACCAGACACATTCCAAGTCTACAGATCCTTCCAAAATTGGACTTTTTGGGGAGACAAGTAGCAATAAGAATTCTTTCAGAAGCTGGGGGAATCTATTTTATCCCTACCAATGAGGCTCCCTTTGGTTTCTGGCCTCATCAATTTTTGGGATGTGGCTCTTGACATGTTAAATAAAGCCCACAATGGCTCTTCAGCTGCCCAATGATGCATGTGTCTGATTCCAAAGGTATGTCCATTTCTGGTGATTAAGACCACTGGATATTTTTTCAAATACTTCACATCCAGAGGTGGGCTTCAAAATTTTTAGCAAGCGGTTCTCTGCCTGGTTGCTGGGTGGGCATGGCCATGGTGGGCGTGGCCTAGTCATCTTCCTGCACCATGGTGGAGGAGCAGGCATTTTTGCACTCCCCGGGCTCCAGAGCCTTTCTTCGAGCCTCTGGGAGGGTGAAAACAGTCTCCCCAGGCTCTGGAGGCCCCCGCTTCTGGCTTCCCCAAACTTCCAGTAGGTCTGAGCCTCCACGCATGCCCTGCACTTACCTGCTTCCAAAATGGGCTACGTGGGGATTCCTGGGAGGGTTGGGGTGGGCGGGACCAGCCAGGAGTGGGATTTGGGGATTCTCCGAACTGCACAGAATCTTAGCTAGAGGTTCTCCCGGACCCCCCCAGCAGCCCACCCCTGTTCACATCAGGTCATACTATTGATCCAATCACACCCATTTTGTTTACACAAATTCGCCACAAACTCGTCAACATTTGTTTACACATGGCAAGCTCCAATTTAAGTCAACTAGACAGAGCACTGTAATTTAACACCAGCTGTCTGCAATTAAAGTAAGATCGAATCTCGCCAGGCTCAAGGTTGACTCAGCCTTCCATCCTTTCTAAGGTAGGTAAATTGAGGATCCAGTTTGTGGGGGCAATAAGCTGACTTTGTATAAAATATACAAAAGTATGAAGGCTATTGCTTAACGCATTGTAAGCCGCCCTGAGTCTCCGGAGAAGGGCGGCATATAAATCAAATTAAAAAAACAAACAAACAAAAACCAAACCAGTATCGCACCTCTAACAGTTTTGCAGATACACACAGTAATCATGGCTTCTTCGACCAATACTTGGATTTTTTTTTTCCTCTCTTTCCCTAAAAACAATGCTATGTTTGGATACTTCTGTAGAGGAGCCTTAAAAGCTTAGACAAGATGCTCATGTGTGCCTTCAGGTCAGTCTTGTCTTCTGGCAATTGAGTGGGCAAGTCCCTGCAGGGCATTTCGGTGACATTTTCAGAAGTGGTTTGTTATGACCTTGTTTCTAGGACTGAGAGAGTGTCACTGGTCCAAAGCTATCCACGCGACTAGGTACCTATGGCAGGACTAGAACTCACTAACCCAGTGCTTTTAATCACTATCCCAAATGACTAAGGGTGGTATTCACTTACCTTCACTACCAGTTTGCAAATGTGAGCGCGCACGCCTCCTCCACGCATGCGCAGAGCCAGTGATGGGATTCAAAAAATTTTACTACCGGTTCTGTGGCTTGGTGGGGGTGGCAGGGGAAGGATGCTGTAAAATCTCCATTCCTACCCCACTCAAGGGGAAGGTTACTACAAAATCCCCATTTCCTCTCAATCAGCTGGGACTTGGGAGGCAGAGAATAGATGGGGGCAGGGCCAGTCAGAATTTTTGCTACTGGTTCTCCGAACTACTCAAAATTTCCGCTACCAGTTCTCCAGAACTGGTCAGAACTTGCTGAAACCCACTTCTGTGTAGAGCCTTCTGTGCATGTGCAGAGGGTCAAAAACAAGACATGATGACATCCGGGCGGGTGGGCAGAGCCTCCCGACACTGGCATTACCGGATTGTGTGACCAGATAGAGCCAGCTGAATTTTACCACTGCAAATGACTCTCTAACACATCCTACTTGATGTCTTTACTGATGATGACAGCAAGTTGCATTTTCCATGTTTTGCATTCATTTGCTTCAGCTCTTTATTCCCCAAAATTTAATATCACAAGTCTTTGTTAAATAGAGTGCTTCTTCTGTTTGCCTTTATCTATTAGATTGTAAGGAGCTTCTTAGTGAAAGAATAATGACAAATAAGAAAATAAACCCTGAGGCTTTTCTTGATAACTCCTAATATTTACAATGGACCAAGTCTTAAGTTAGATCTAGCAAAGTTCCAAGATTCTTAAATCTATAAAAAGGGGGTGGGTGGGTGGGACATTTTTAACAACAGGTTATGTATTATTGTATATTATTCATGTTGTGTTTTATAGACAGGTTTTATTACATGACTCAAAGAAGCATTGTTACTTTACCTCACTCCAAGCAGAGATCACCCATTGAAGACGTTCATTTTTAGGGCATCGTCCCAACACGCAGGCTTGTTGCATTTCTGGCTTGGTTTCACTGTTGCACAAACTCTCTGGCACAATTTTTAAGATGGATGTTCCTACACTTTTGCAGGAAACCTCACGTTTCATTATTCCTCGTCCACAGGTTTTGGAACACTTTATGGGATTGGGAGAAAGTCTGATGTTAGTAACCTTTAAAACTGAGCCTGTTCTCCTGTCATAGGGCAATAAACAAAATAAATTTCATCCCGTTCTGAGTTATATGCTACATATATAACCTCCAATCTTCCCTCCAGGACGAAATCCAACATATTAAGTTCCCAGAAAGATTTCCAGTGCAGCTATTTATTTATTTTATTTCCATCCTACTTTTCTGTTTCTTCGACAACTGTAGTAGGTTAAGGTAAAGGTAAAGTTCCCCTCGCACATATGTGCTAGTCGTTCCCAACTCTAGGGGGCGATACTTATCTCTGTTTCAAAGCTGAAGAGCCAGCACTGTCCAAAGATGTCTCTGTGGTCATGTGGCCAGCATGACTCAACGCCAAAGGCGCACGGAATGCTGTTACCTTCCCACCAAAGGTGATTCCTATTTTTCTACTTGCATTTTTTATGTGCTTTCGAACTGCTAGGTTGGCAGAAGCTGGGACAAGGAGGAACTCACCCTGTTATGCGGCACTAGGGATTCGAACCGCTGAACTGCTGACCTTTCTATCAACAAGCTCAGTGTCTTAGCCACTGAGCCGCCACATCTCTTTTATTGTAGTAGTTTACAATGCCTAAAACCAGGATCCCTTAACTTCATCGTGGATCTTAAAGCTATGCTCACATTCTATCTACCTATTTAGTAATCTATCAGGCCAGATCAAATTATATATTCTTAGGTAGTCATCATTTCATGGGCTTTTCTAAAACAAGGAGAGTGTCGACCATTTCCACCCCACTCAATATACTCCAGCAATTAGGGAACTTTTGCGAGTATTTGGCAGGAATTAGCTACCAGTTTAGAGCCACCAACAGCCCTTTGATTCATCTGCAAGCTCTCCGAAAGCTGACTTTTTTATTGACTTTTTTTGGGGGAAAAAAGCCACTTCATCTTCGTCCTGCAATCTCTACTGTATTCCAAACACCAAACATCTATTTTTATTAATTTTTTTGCTAGTCACTTCTAGCCTATAACTCGGGCTAATGATAGATGAAGCGATGTGTTTCAGAAAAGTAAGTTAATACTCTCCAGTCTTAAAGAATGCTCATTAAGAGAAAGAATTTGACAGGGGGTGCTTTCATAGCTGGGGCTCCCCCACCCCTCTCTGTCTATTTTTTTCCAGAAGAGGCTGAAATTTTTTTTTTTTTTGCAACAGCGTATTCGCTTAAATGAAATCTGTGATACGTCTGTCTTGGCAAGTGTACAAAACAGCAAGACTTTGTTTCACTCTAGTGAAAAGGCTGCTAGAGATTTCATATCTTTCAGAAAAGGGGTGTCTGTGTGTACATATTGGAATTTGCCTGAGGCCCTATGCTACCAACTCTGCTTTTAAGAGCAGGGTTTTTTTTTTTGTTTTTTTTTACTATATTATGATATTAGGTTGCTTGAAATGATACATTATCTAAAGGGGAGGGAGAAAAATACATCCTTCGTTTTGCTGTGTGCTGCTGATCATCACTGAGCATTGAATACCTACTTTGGAAAAGTGAATTTGCATGCGCTCAGTGAAGTAATTAATAATAGCTATCTCTTAAATGCAAAATACTGCTTAACACAAGAGCTATACCATTAAGAATTAGTATAAAGATATACCATTAGAAGACAATGTGATTAGAAAAATTATGGAGTGTGCAGAAATGGTTAAGCTCACGAAGGAGATACTGTACAAGAAAAGGATGAAACAGAATGCTCTCTAGTCTGGGAGAGATGGTATAAATGGTTGGAGGAAAGGGGGAAAAAGGACAAAGGAAGACTAAATAATGGTTAAATGAGGTGGAGAAATATAGAAAGTTTATGTCAAATGTAAATAAAATAATTAGAATAATATAATATATTATAATGATATATATATGATATATTAGAAATATATGTATAAAAGATAATAAGATAAGAGAAAATGTATAAATATGGATTACTGATGTGAAACTGTTGAAAAGAAGATGTAAATATCTCTTTTTGTTTGTTTTTAAAAAACTGTTTAATAAAATATATAAAAGAAGAATTAGTATAAAGATAGAAATTAGAAATGGGGAAAAGATTCCTTTTTTTAATTTGGTAACTATTCTATTAATGGGTATAAAATAGCAGCAGAAGTTAGAAATCTAGACATGTAAACAAAAGTGAAGGAATTTGTGTAATTGAATAATGAACATTGAATAATTAAGATCAGTAAACTTTAGGATTATTTGTAAAATAATGGTTATAAATGTGATGTTTGCTTGATGTTTATGATGTTTGATAGTATTAATGGATTATAGATAAAATTGAACAGAGGGCCTAATCAAATAACACACAATTTTCAACAAGGATAAGTGAAGATGAAGTTGAATAGATATTGAGGATAATATTTACATCTATTGTGTATATAAGATTTACTATCTGTATTCAATAAAAATTGTAGAGATTGCACCCAGATGGTATACTGTTATTGTGAATATAGAAATTTTTATACATAACCAAGAAAACTGTACAATAAAAAATAATAACAACAACAACAAAAGCTATCTCTATCTTATTTTTATATTTTTATTCTTTCTTAGTACTCTGCTACGGAAAGTTTAATTTTGCCCAGCTACTGTATGTGTCATTTGTCGCCCTATCTGGGGATCTAGGACAACTCAGTATGGCCAGCTCGCTTCAGCCAACTGGGGCAACTTGCCGTAGATAAATGAAATGTATATGACAAAAATTAAAATACTTTTTAAAAATTATTGTAAATACTTAATTTGAATTGTTGGATTGTTCCGCAGAAAGTTGTCCCACAGTGAGTGGGCCATGGTGAGTTGGCTGCATGAAGTTGTCCCATTCCACTACCTGGAGCATTCAGGAAGTGTGAAGGTAGCACAAGCTCTTATCACCATTTTTCTCGATTGCTGCAATGAGCTCTATACGGAGCTACTTATGAAGACCATCTAGAACCATAAAGTGCCAATGGAAAACTAGGTGGAACTACAGAACAATCTGATCACGTTCTTCAGGCCATCCAGTGGCTTTCTGTAGGCTCCTTAGTATAATTCAGAGCGCTGGTTTTACCCTTTAAATGACTATTGGTTTGGCACTGAGGCATTCTGATTTAATTTTGACCCACCTAACATATGTTAACGCAGTAGCTCACTGGCTAAGAGCTTGTCGATCGAAAGGTCGGCAGTTCAGCGGTTTGAATCCCTAGTATCGCGTAACAGGGTGAGCTCCTGTTACTTGTCCCAGCTTCTGCCAACCTAGCAGTTCGAAAGCACGTAAAAAATGCAAGGAGAAAAATAGGGACCACCTTTGGTGGGAAGGTAACAGCGTTCCGTGCGCCTTTGGCGTTTAGTCATGCTGGCCACATGACCACGGAGACGTCTTCGGACAGCGCTGGCTCTTCAGCTTTGAAATGGAGATGAGCACTGCCCCTTAGAGTCACGAACAACTAGCACATATGTGCGAGGGGAACCTTTACCTTTACCTTTATTTTGAACAGAAGACCCTTATACCAGTGATGGTTAACCTTTTTGGTGCCAAGTGCCCAAAGCATGTGCACTCGCACGAATGCACACGTGTATGCCCGAACCTCCAAAATGCAATGCAAGTGCCCCCCGCCCATGCGCCCTTCCCCACCTATGCACCCTGCCCCGCCCATGTGCACATGGACAGTCCATTCTTCTCAGGTTATATGCTGACTGACTCCCAACCATTTTTCTTTAGACTCAAAAGAAGATTGTGGCAACATTTTTTAAAAAAATTACCTGTGACCAAGGCCCAGGATTCCATTCCGGTGGGCAGTCCTGGTTATTACATGCCTGTATTTGTGCCGGAGTGGTTACTGGGCAGAGAGCGTGAGCCACAATCTCTTCCTTATGAAAAGCCTTTTTCTGGACACATTGGATATGACGGCTTTGCTGTCCTCCACCACAGGACTGGCTGCAAATGCTCCATTCACCTGCTGACCAACTGAAAAATATATAGACATATATGACATATCCCCCTTGTGATCCTTATTACCTTGAATAAGGGTAATTCCCTTATTTCCCCAAAAATAGGACCCAATTGGAAAATAAGTCCTAGTATGATTTTTCAGGATGCTCGTAATATAAGCCCTACCCTCCCCCCAAAATAAGCCCCAGTTAAGATTGTCAGCCAGATGAGTGCATTTAGTATTTTCCCCAAAATAAGACCTCACCAGAAAATACACCCTGATGAGTCTTTTGGAGCAAAAATTAATATAAGACCCAGTCTTATTTTTGGGGGAAAAAAAAGTAGTAATATAAGTCTTCCTCAATTGCAGGTCTTCTACCAGAGCCCTGGGAATTTGAGGGTTCTGTGCATAATCTTAACTATTCCTAACACTGGAACACTCTTCTGGATAGAGAGCTCTGATGTTCTTGGGATCTGTTGGAGCCATTTTCCGAGCTTAGGTGTCCCAGCCTCAGTTGCTCCTACCACCACTGGGATCACTTTATTTTCAACATCCTCCCCAGTTCTTCCATCAGGGCCTGGGACTTCTCCAGATTCTCATACACCTTCTTCCTGAAATTGCTGTCACTTAACACCGCTACTTCTATCACTACTGCTATTGTTTTTTTGTGTGTGTGTGTGTGTTTTTTTGTTCCTTGTCTACTACCACAATGTCTGGTTGAGAAACATGTATTCTGATTCTGAAGCAGAGGTTGAAGCTGTAGATATCATCTCCACATGGGCAATTTTAGAAAATTTAAGACAATTTAGAACTACGCTGCCTTCGGTCTGACCTAAGCGTAGTACATAAAATCATCTGTTACAATGCCCTACCTCTCAATGACTATTTCAGCTACAACCACAACACACGAGCAGACAATAGATACAAACTTAAGATAAACCACTCCAAACTAGACTGCAGAAAATACGACTACAGTAACAGAGTGGTCAATGCCTGGAATACACTATTTGACTCTGTGGTTTGTTCCTCAGACCCCCCAAAACTTTAATCTTAGACTGTCTACTGTTGACCTCCCACCATTCCTAAGAGGCCTGTAAGGGGCGTGCATAAGCGCACCAACATGCCTACCATCCTTGTCCTACTGTCCCCATTTATTCATATCCTTATCCTGTATTCATAATCATGTTTATACATTTCATGTATTCATAATCATGTTTATACTTTTATCTGTAATCTTATATATGCTAGACAAATAAAATAAAATAAAATAAAATGAAATAAAATAAAATAATAAAATTAAATTAAAGTAAGTAAATAAATAAATAATTTTTTTTCCCAGCTGAAGAGGGAATAATGAAGGTGCTAAACACTGATTTAAAATTATTCCTGGGCTATGTTTTTAATTAGCAAAATTATTCAATCAAGGAGCCAAATAAAAGTACCTACATATAGTTTTCTCTAGTTTATATTCTATTTTATATGCTCTGTTCAAAAAGGAGGAGAAATCTGTTGGGACAGGAAAAGACAGGAAAAAAAATACACTATAACTTTAATTTAACAAGCCATTTTTTTGGGGGGGGGAATGTCCATTAAGCCCAAATGTCTTTTCAATCTGAATGCATGTAATTGAAGCAGTACGTGACATTTGCATAATGGCATGCTTGATGTTTTCATATATTTGATGCCACTTGCATCAAATTAAATAATCTGATGAAAATTAGATAAAACATCAATTATGTCATTACACAGATAAGATAATTAGTGCAAATGATGAAAACATCAATTAGGTCATTACAGGAATGATGTAAATAACATTAATTGTTTGGATAGACTTCAGAAACAAAGGACTTCATTATTATCTGGGGGTAAATTTTAAATGCAAATTTAACCTGTTGCATTCAAAGTCCATTAAAAGGAGGTCATTGAATGGAGGTTTTACTTGAAATGCATTTTTTTTCACTATAAATGCAATCATTGTGATCTTCAGCTCCAGTGCTTTAGAATTTTGCTCTCAGGAAATACTTGAATCATATTAGATATATGATGTAAAAATTACCAATTTTAAAGATATGCAAACTGTTTTGAATTCAAACTACTTCCAATTGTAAATGGTTTGTATATATATATATATCATAATTGTTGTAAAACACTCAGTGGGTTGAGAATGGGGTGGAGAACAAAGCGAATTAGGAGAACAAATCATAAAGAATAAAGAAAACAATTACATAAAATGGGCTGAACAGATCCCACTCAAATTCATATTTGTATTATTTTACTTCACTGTCTCTCCTTCCCATTTTATCTGGTTTGCATGAATTTTGTATTCTTACTAGAGATTCCATCCATGGATGTTAAGGTAAATAATTTAGATAGTGACACTGATTGTTGCACATTAGTCTAAGGATTCTGATATGAATGTTTTATGTCTGTATGCTGAAAATGTTAGCGTTTTTCAGCCTCGGCAAAATGAGAAAGTTAAGCCAATTAAAATTGAATCCTTATAATATATGCACAAAATTTGAAAAAATAACAATATACCAACGGAAGATAATTTATTAGAAAAGTTTTGGAATGTGCAGAAATGTTCAAACTTACAAAGGAAATACAAGAAAAAGAGGAAACAGAATATTATATAGTGTGGGAGAAATGGTATGAATGGTTAGAGGAGAGAGATAAAAGGCAAGGAAAGAGCAAATGAGGAAGATATAGGAGTGGAAATGCAATAACTAATAAGAGGAAACAGAAAAGATGCAGATTTGTAGAAACGAAATTGTGTACACTGTTATTTATATGTAAATAAATCAATATTAGAATTATATGTATAAAGGGTAAATTGAAATAAGGGAGAAAAAAATGGATAAGTAAGAAATGTCTACCGATGCGAAATTGTTGAAAAGAAAAAAAATGGTAAAAGATTATTTTTTGTTTTCAGAAAAAAATACTGTTTAATAAAAATTATTTTTAAAAAATAAAATAAAATTGAATCCTTACATTATTAACGCTTAATGCTTATGCTTATGCAGGCAAACCTGATATTCCTCAGAATTAAGGGACACTACTAAAATCCTCTTGCCTTGGCAAAACTCTTCCCAGACTTCGTTTGAAATGCTCACTCCTGAAGGACTTCTTCAGTCCTATTACAAGCCATGATCTACAACCATTCCCCTATCTATAGGTACGTTGTACCTGCCAGGCCTGGAAGCCATCTTTTGCATAGGGCTTTCAGGCCTGCCACATTTACTACTGTGGGAAATTGGGAGGGGGGTGATATATAGTCATAATAACATTCCTTTCTCAGAGAGTCAAGGACATCTTGCTCTACACCTGGAGGGCTGTGACTGGGAAGCATCTCCAGTTGGACAGTGCTTTGATTGGGCCATGTGATTGACATGAGGATGCTGGGCAGGGACTTGGGCTTTCTTTTGGGCGGGGAAAACCTGGAAGCTTTCAGATTCGGGTTTTCCCAGATGTGCCAATATAACATCTCTAATAAAATGGAACTTTGAGGAACTCCAAGCCTCAGAGTCTTCTTTCGTTTGGGGTGCTATTTGGAACCCTGGCAATACCCTTGAAACTGGGAAAGAAGCCTGCCTCCATGATGTGTTAACTGCATGGAAGCAAAATCAAATTATGAAATGCACATGGCAGAGATGCAGTAGATGTAGTACATGGATTTCAAAGGATGTAAAATAATTTAGTTCTAACTAAAGCCTTTCCTTGACCTGCTTCCCTTTCTGTGGCCAACAGAGCTGGACAAGACAGCCTTGTCTCCAAAACATCACAGTTGGAAAACAGTATCTTCTAATGATACACTTAAGATTCATCCACCAGCTGCAAAGTACAGCTTGCATTTGGCACCCTAGCCGAGGCATGCCACGATAGCTACTTGTGTGGTTCTTTCGCCAATTAAAATAAATGCTACGTTTTAGAAGCTTCCAGCCACAATTAAAAGGCAAAACACAAACATCTACAGGGAAAGCTGAAGGAAACTTAATGGAAGGCTTTTCTCTCGGAGAAAAAGCAGAGCCCAGGGTACAGAAATAAGCCTTTGGCAGAAGATTAGTCACACCCAAACAGAATCCTTGGCTAGGGAGATTATCTCAAATTAGTTGTCAGACAATGGCATGGCTCAAAGCAAGGCAATAAAATTGCTAAAACTATCACATGATACGTTACCCTAATTAAACCTTATCTCTGCCTTTTTGTGATTCTCTTACGGTTTCCTCTGCATCTCCTGCAGTGTGTGTGTGTGTGTGTGTGTGTGTGTGTGTGTGTGTACACGTGCATATGTGTCAGCTCCAGACTCCTTATTACAGAGGAGCAGAATGTAAGAATGCCAATGAGCCCTAGATTGGTGGTGCCACAGAATTGGAAGTCATCAGGTTAATTTGTTTTAACGGTAATGTTAAGTATTAACAATAATCTCCACCACTCTTTACACCTACTCTGGTTGATTTTAGAGGACACCTCCCCCCTCCCCCCGGAAAGTCATTGAAAGATCCAATATGGCTCAGAAAGTGTGGATCATGATGACAGGAAGGAACATTGTGACTAGGAATTTGTGTGCAGTGTAGAAATGCCATCAGTGGAGACTCTCAAGTAATAATTTGTGGAAGATGCAGAACAATTACCACATAAATAAGGTAAAGGTAAAAGTTCCCCTCGCACATAGTCGTTCCCGACTCTAGTGGGCGATGCTCATCTCCATTTCAAAGCCGAAGAGCCAGGGCTGTCCGAAGACATCTCCATGGTCATGTGGCCGGCATGACTAAACACCAAAGGCGCACGGAACGCTGTTACCTTCCCACCAAAGGTGGTCCCTATTTTTCTATTTGCATTTTTTACATGCTTTCGAACTGCTAGGTTGGCAGAAGCTGGGACAAGTAACGGGAGCTCACCCTGTTATGCGGCACTGGGGATTTGAACCGCTGAACTGCTGACCTTTCGATCGACAAGCTCAGCATCTTAACCACTCAGCCACTGTGTCCCTAAATAGGACTGGGCAAATATTCACTGTACAGTGATGCTGAATTTACAAATGGGAAAACAGAGCAGGTCCCCTGATTCACTTTTTTTGGGTATCTGGAAGCATGGATCGTTCTGGTGGCTTCTCCAAAACTTCTATAAGAATTCAGAGCTTTCTTCATCTGGTCTGCAGTTGTCCAATTTCACTGAAATTGATCGGCACAAGACGCTCATTATCTAGAGATGCAATCCTCAGAAAGATTTGCATGCAGTTGTTAACTATATCAAGTTTCAACTGCGGCTTGATTTCTGCTGATTAGGACCTGTTTATTGCACAAGCTGAACATTTTATCAATCCCTTGCTCTTATCTGGACCAAACATCCCTTTCTATATTACTATGGATTTAGGAGTACTGAATTTCAGGAGAAGCACTTCTGCTACTCAGTTTGCCTCTTGTAGCTTCCCCTGGCAGCAATTCTCTTAAAGCATTTTAAAGGAGTAGTTTTCCACCTCTTGCCATCTTACCTGATTTTCAGCTCTGCGTTTAAATATTTTTGGGGAGAGCTTATTTTTGGGGGGAGGGCTTATTTTAGCGCATGCGCTCAAAAGCCTGATTGGGCTTATTATCAGGGGTTGTCTTATTTTCGGGGAAATAGGAAGACGGCTATCACGTCACCCATAGTCGTTCTCTTCATTAGACTGGACAAACCTAGTTCCTGCAACCATTCATCATATGTTTTAGCCTTCGGATCATTTATCATCTTTGTTGCTCTTCTCTTCACTCTTTCTAGAGTCTCAACATCTTATTTGTATTATGTTGTATTGTGCTGTATTGTATCGGTCATTGTATTGTACTCTAGTTTCTTCAATGCAGAGACAATCTAGGAAGGAAAGTTTGCTCAGACTACGCCTACTGAGATTCAGCTGTTACAACCTGAATCAGAATTCAAGCTTTTTGCTCCACTGCTCGTCTGTGCAAGCAGCACAGTTATCAGACAGTCATCTATGGCTATGAGGTCATTTTCAAATAACAAGAGTTTGACTCTGATTTATCAATAATTGGAAATTATTATGGCAATAGGAGCCAGGTTTTCTTAACCTATACAATCCAATTTATGAGTATGATAAAAAATAAAGTGTTACCAGTGTAAACCAGTGTGTAGCAATTTGTATTTAGCATATTAGACATAAGTACTTCAGGACCCTTCCTTAGTCCTGGTAAGTCACCAATATCCAATTTGAACAAGAGTTCAAATATCCACCCTTCTCTTCTTCCTTGGTAAGTATCAATCCTTCTTCTTGTGGCTCCATTGAGCCCAAACCTCCCTCTCAAAGAAGGGCTTTGATCAAGCTCCATTTTGAGGACAATGGGTTTCCTCCATAACAGTTTCCTCTTGTTTATTGTGTCAAATGCTGCACTAACATCTAGAAAGCCAGCAAACCATGGTTTACCCGACTGACATATTTTGTGAGTAGACATTTCAAGCCAATCTGTTGTCAATATTAGATTATTAATTTATTATTATATAAATGTATATATCATTTAACTCTACCCCACAATCAACTTTAAACTCTAGTCATATTTGGGAAGATTGTCAGTTAAAGTAAAAGTCTATACTTACTAGGCTGGGCAAGGATTTGCATTGCAAATCATTGTTTCTGTTAAAGGTTTTGTCCTTGGGCCACAAAACGAAGAATTTACACGGGTTTGATGATCCTGTAAACACACAGCTTTGGCTATCAAATGCCCTGCAAGGAATTTTGTAAAGAACAAAAAAAGACAATTTAAAGGAAATACAGAATATACTAAATAATTCTCGCAAAAATATAAAGAGTGTTGATATTTGAGTGTTAATGTGTTGATACCATTGGTCTAGTTCTTTCTTCATGCCTATTTTTTCCCCACTCTCACTATTTAGATAGTGGTAGATAACATTGTCCTAATGAATCCCATTCTCAAGCTTGCTGATTCTTCATTTTTGTTCTTCAAATGTCAAAATGTTATACCAACACAGGTCCCATGGTGCAAAGCCAAGCCAGACTGGTACTTCCAACAATGCTTCTAAGAGGCCTCAGAGGCATTCTTAAAAAAATATAAATGCTGGGTTTCTGATTACTTGTTTAGAAACGTTATAAAGGCATGCTAGAGTAGCCACAAATATTCTAGAGGGAACCCTGAGGAGCAATCTCATTAACTTGTCTTCTGGTAAATGGATACGTTGTAATTGGCCATATCCATCATGGATCAATTTGATGAAGAGGCAAGCCCCCACATGATAACACTTTGTGAGAAGCACAACCTGACCTCATAATTGTATCCAATATCTAGCCGTAAAAGTATTTCTCCCTATCAAGTAGGAGGAAGTGTTGACGCATGCCTGCCTTTTCATTAAAATAATCTTTTAATAAAAGAAAGAAAGCAATAGAAAAGTTACATGGGGAACAAAGAGTGACAGAGCCAAAGATACAAAATGCCTATCTCCAAGTTAAAGACAATACTAGCAATCCCAGAAAGTTTTTTTTCCCCCTAAATGTGGTCTTTGGCTGTAAACCTAATGCCAACAGCTACGGGCTTTCTCACAGGGAACTGTTTTTAATATTACTAACAATGGACATTCTTGAAACTCCTGATTTTATGAGCTAACAGGAGGGGAGTAAAACTGATTGAGGAAATCAGCTTTGTCAGAAGGAATTCAAAAACAGAAGACCAAGAGGCAGGAAGGGGAAAAAAAGCAGTCTGCAAATTCCAGGAACTAGAAATATAATTCCTCTGCTTTGATTTATACTAAACAAATAGATAGATAGATAGATAGATAGATAGATAGATAGATAGATAGACAGACAGACAGACAGACAGACAGACAGACAGACAGACAGATAGATAGATGGATCGAGGGAGGGAGAGGGATGGATGGATGGATGGATGGATGGATGGATGGATGGACAGACGTAGGGAGGATGGAGGGAGGGAGGGAGGGAGGGAGGGATAGACAGATAAGATAGACAGACAGACAGACAGACAGACAGACAGACACAGACAGACAGACAGACAGACAGAGATAGAGATAGAGATAGAGATAGAGAGGGGGGAGATAGATAGATAGATAGATAGATAGATAGATAGATAGATAGATAGATAGACGGATGGATCGATGGATCGAGGGAGGGAGAGGGAGAGGGATGGATGGATGGATGGATGGATGGATGGATGGATGGATGGACGGATGGACAGACGTAGGGAGGGAGGGAGGGAGGGACGGAGGGATAGATAGATAGATAGATAGATAGATAGATAGATAGATAGATAGATAGACAGATAGACAGACAGACAGACAGACAGACAGACAGACAGACAGATATAGAAATAGAGATAGAGAGGGGGGAGATAGATAGAAAGATAGATAGATAGATAGATAGATAGATAGATAGATAGATAGATAGATAGATAGATATAGAGATACAAGTATATTAAAAGATGGATGGGGGAATGCTGGGGGGGGGTTTGCTATCAATCTAGTAGATATCTCCAGTGTATTGGCTGCATCTCAAACCAAAGACTGACAACAATCAGCCTTTATAAAATATCCTCTGAGAAATCCAATAGACTCCAATAAGTAAATACGTAAACTTTATTTTAAGTTTTTGCCCAAAACTGGAAAAACAATGACATACCATCAGAAGACAATGTGATTAGAAAAATTATGGAGTGTGCGGAAATGGATAAGCTCACAAAGGAGATACAAGAAAAAGATGAAACAGAATATTACTTAGTCTGGGAGAAATGGTATAAATGGTTGGAAGAGAAGCGGGGGAAAGGGGGGGGAAGAAAGGAAAACTAAACAATGGTTAAATTAGGCAGAGGAATATGGAAACAAATGGGAAGATATAAAAATTGTGGAAAGGAAATTAGGTACCTGTTTATGTTAAATGTAAATAAAATATTTAGATTAATAGTATATATTATAACAGTATATATATATGATATACTAGAAATATATGTATAAAAGATATATTAAGATAAGAAAGAGAAAATGTATAAATATGGATTACTGATGAGAAGATGTTGAAAAGATGTAAATATCTGTTTTTGTTTGTTTTTTTAAAAAAACTGTTTAATAAAAATTATTTTTTTAAAAAGATAATAATACAAACATATAATGCTGGATTTATGATAATAATAAATGCATTTAGAGTTCCTTGAAACCTGCGGGTGTTCCTACTCCAAATTTCTTGGATAGTCTTTGTGTGTATTTTAGCCTAGTTCTTTATATTGTGAATAAAATGTAAGCTTGGTCTCTAAAAATACTTTCTCTAACACATTCAAACCTATAGGGGTTTCTGAGGCAGCCAACACATCTGCTCCTAACAAAAAAAAAAGTAACAAATGCTTAATATACTTCCATTCAGCTCTTTTTGGCAAATCATATTCTCTGAAAAAAAGAAGGTAAGAGATTTTCTGCCTCAATCTATGAAAATTCTGAAGGTATCTTAGTGAAAGACTTGTTAGAAAATTTTGTCTCTTGATATAAAGAGTTGAACTACATACAGGGAAGACTGTAATACTGAAATACAGGAGGTGGTTCTTACTCAACATCAACAGTGGGTTTCAAAAATTTTTACTACCGGTTCTGTGGGTCTGGCTTGGTGGGCATGGCTTGGTGGGCGTGACAGGGGAAGGATACTGTAAAATCTCCATTCCCACCCCACTCCAGGGGAAGGATACTGTAAAATCTCCATTCCCTCCCCACTCCAGGGAAAGGTTACTGCAAAATCCCCATTTCCTCCCGATCAGCTGGGACTCGGGAGGCAGAGAACAGATGGGAGTGGGCCAGTTTGGATAGTCCTAAATAAATAGAAAAAGGGAAGGCATATTCTGAGCAAATTTGGCATACTCACCCCTACCACAGGTCGCTGAGCAATCTGACTGCACCATCACCCATGAGTAGCTATGTCTTTTTGTGAATATCTTGTTCTCATTATTCACCTTAGATAAGGTATACCTCCACAAAATGCCAGGATTTTTCCCTTGTAACAGCACCTAATCATCATAAGAGGGGGGGAAAAAATGATGGAGCACCCATAAATTCAGAAGGCAATTCATTTCACTGATTAGTTGTTCCCACTGATAGAAAATTTCTTCTAAATTCCGGTTGGATCTCCCTTTAATAAGTTTTCACCAGGGGTGAAATGCTACCGGTTTGCTCCGGTTCATGTGAACCGATAGTAAAAAAAAATGCTTTAAAAATTTTTTTTAAAAAAAGGTTCCGACAATCACAGTTGTGCCGCGCGATCGTTGGAACCTTTTTTAAAAAAACTCTTTTAAAGCATTTTTAAACTACCGGTTCGGGCGAATAGGTAGTAAAAAAATGCTTTAAAATTTTTTTTTTAAAAAAAAAGTTCTGACGATCACACAATACAGCTGTGATTGTCAGAACCTTTTTTTTACTTAGTTGGCCACGCCCACCCAGTCACATGACCTCCCACCAAGCCACGCCCACCAAGCCACGCCCACAGAACTGGCAGCAAAAAAGTTTGCATTTCACCACTGGTTTCACCCATCGTCTCTTCTCCTGCAGTTGGGTTCCTACTAAACTTTCATCCTAGGAATTTGGTACAAATGAAAAAGGAAACACAGCCGATTGCCTGGCTTTGCCCACTAGCTCCCTGTTCATAAAAGGCAGTACAACCGGCTCATTTTGTGGACTACCCACATCGATCTTTTTCATAATGATCATGTAATTAGACAGGTGTCAATTGTGAACATATTAGACCACTAATAGGAGGCAGGGGTCTACCCATTTTCAGTTGTGGCTCTTCCTGGAGAAAGGCTTTATTATTTATTTATTTTATTAATTTATTTGATTTGATTTGATTTCTATACCGCCCTACTCCTGAAGACTCAGGGCGGTGCACAGCCAAACAATAAAACACATACATACAAAATTTAAAAGTAGAATTAAAATCAAATTAAATAGTTTTGGCCCAGACAAATTAAAACCCCAAACTGTTTAAAACCAATTTTTGGCATCCATCAAATGGCCTTGATTGCCTTCTGGTTAGGTTACTGCAATAAACTCTATAGCAGGGGTCTGCAACCGGTGGCTCTGGAGCCGCATGTGGCTCTTTCATCCTTCTGCTGTGGCTCCCTGTGGCTCAAAATATGTGTCACAACCACCAACCGGCACGTGATTTATTGAGCTTTTCAACCCATCTTTTTTCTTTCTTTCTTTCTTTCTTTCTTTCTTTCTTTCTTTCTTTCTTTCTTTCTTTCTTTTTCTTTTTTTTTTGGAGTTCAAAATGTTTTTGGTGCATGCAGAAATAAAAAACTGTTTTCTCTGTAGCAGTTCATTGATTTCATAAATGCGACACACTATCATTTATTTATACATAGCATAAATGTAAAAAAATGATATATGCAGTGTTATCTTCATTTTAGATGTCAAAAGGGTTTTGTGGCTCCCGGTGTTTTCTTTTCTGTGGGAAACAGGTCCAAATGGCTCTTTTGAGTGTTTAAGGTTGCTGACCCCTGCTCTATAGGGAGCTACAGCAGTCAACTACGGTATTTTCCTGTCAATGAAAACTGTGATCTCAGGTTTTGACGTGTTACTATAATTCAATTAAGTATATGGATTGTTATATGTTCCTGCTTTGGAGTGAGATCCCTTTTTATTCACTCTTGTCCATCTCAGATGATACAGAAGAACTGAAGAAGCCTGTAGTAAGTGGACTAAAGCACTGTTATTAACATCTGCTGCTTGCAATTACTGCAAATTCAAATCTCGCCAGGCTCAAGGTTGACTCAGCTTTCCATCCTTTCTAAGGTGGATAAAATGAGGACCCAGATTATGGGGGCAATAAGCTAACTTTGTATAAATATACAAAAGTATGAAGGCTATTGCTTAACTCATTGTAAGCCGCCCTGAATCTCCGGAGAAGGACGGCATATAAATTAAAGCAAAAAAAAAAAAAAGAAAGAAAAAGAAAAAGAAAACACGTTAAGATTTTAGTGATAATAAATTTGAAATTAATGCGTTAAGAGTGTTTAATGTATATGCATTGATACAACATATTTAAAAAAAAAAAAAGCCACGTAAAACATCAACAACAAGGTTCTGCCAAAGACATTTCTGATCATTTATAACCAAAATGCAAACAATGGAAGTTTCTGTGAACACAATCACTTTAAATTAGGGACAAGTCTCTTTCTCATCTCTTTCACATATGTTGATTCATAATTTTTGTTTCTATTATTCATGAATGAATTGACAAAAAAATCCACTAAATCTTAGGTAAAGGGTCACATGTACAGTGGTGTCCAAAATTGTGGAAACCTTTTGGGGAAAAGTGTATTTTCTAAAACACCACTTTTTGGGGGGAGTTGTACCATAAAATTATATATCAATGGAAAGAGAAGAGAAGAGAAGAGAAGAGAAGAGAAGAGAAGAGAAGAGAAGAGAGTTCTTTATTGGTCAAGTGTGATTGGACACACAAGGAATTTGTCTTTGGTGTATATGCTCTCAGTATACATAAAAAGACAAGATACAATAATCAAGAATGTAGTGCAATAACTTTTATGAAGGCTTTGATATTAGAATAACAGTTACAGTATAAAGAAGAAAAGTGAAACATGTAGAAAAAATGAGATATACAAAAATTATCACGTCAGTTAATTCTTAGTTGGGTAACCTTTAGCATGAATTACGGCCTTACAACGTCTTCCCATGGAGTGAACCAAGTCTTTTAGTTCTGCAGCTGTTCTAATGTAAAACCATGATTGAATGATTGCTTCTATTAACTGGGTTTTATTGCTGGGTCGCTTCTAACAAACAAGTTTCTTTAGTCAACTCCATAGATTTTCAATTGGGTTAAGGCCTGGGCTATTCCCAGGCCATTCCAGCAGTGGAATAGGATTATCTTGAAACTCCCCCCCCCAAAAAAAGTGGTGTTATTAGCCATCAAACCTCAAAAATACACTTTTCCCAAAAGGTTTCCACAATTTTGGCCACTACTGTAAGTATAATTTATTTCCATTGTATTTTTCTTTTTAATTGTTTTATAAAACTGTAGGATTTAGCTACTTCCTCGAGAAAAATAAAAGCTATAATATCAGTATTTTAATATCCAAGCCTCCCTATTTGATGAATCTGTGAAAGGTTAAAGTGTGAATTCCAATTATGTCTTTGTTTTGAAGATGGATTTAATGGACAGAAACATGGTCCACTGCCAATATCAACTGGACTAAATCTATGGAGGGATGTAGAATGTAAAAGAGAACGAATAAGGAAACGTTTCATGGGAGAAAAATAAAAATCAAGATTAATTAACACTTTTAAACGTCAAGACATTCAGACTTGAAAAATCTATATGGAAGTGGAGGTGGAGATCACATGTGGGGGAAATGATCTAAAATAATGTCAATTGTTATTCCCCCCCCCAAAAAAGGGGGGGTGTCCATGTCCAGAGACACTGAACATATAACATCTGAGTAGTTTGCTATTGACTACTTGTACAGCAAATTGTGTGGTTTGGGATGGGAAAAGGAAAAAAGAAAAATTGGAAGAATGATACGTTTTCCAGTTCTATTAGCCAGTTTCTATTTCAGTCTATGAATTCTGGGAGAACTCCAACATGGATATTCATGACCTAGTCCAGCACTATACTGTATATCCATTCAGAAAAACTAATAGCTTGGCTTTCTGATTTATTGCAAGACCCAGAATTGAGAAATCAGGCAGATGTAATGTAACGTACGAGGGTTTATTATTATTATTATTAAAGGGAATGCTTCTCATCCACATCCTCATATGGAGCTAGCCTATGTCACAATACAGACTACAAAACATTCAAAAGTGGTTGATTATTAACTACATTTCCAGATTGTGAAACATAGATTTAGATGGTATAAAGATAGATGTCGATGTAGATTAAATATAAAGAGGAAGAGGAAGTTTGGTGCAGTGGTTAAGGTATAAGGTTAGAAACCTGGAGACTATGAGCTTCAGTCCCATTTTAGGTATAAAGCCAACTGGAAAACTTTAAACCAGTCACTTTCTCTCAGTCCTAGGAAGGAGGCAATGGCAAACCACTTCTGAAATCTTGCCAACAAAACTGCAGGGACTTGTTCAAGAAGTTACCAGGAATCCACATTGTCATCCCAAAAAGATTGATAGATATAGATATTGCTAGAGATAATGTAGGGATGCAGTGGCTTAGTGGCTAAAATGCTAAGCTTGTCGATTGAAAGATCAGCAGTTCAGCGGTTCAGATCCCTAGTGCCGCGTAACAGGGTGAGCTCCCGTTACTTGTCCCAGCTTCTGCCTACCTAGCAGTTCGAAAGCACGTAAAAAATGCAAGTAGAAAAATAGGGACCACCTTTGGCGGGAAGGTAACAGCATTCTGTGCACCTTTGGCGTTGAGTCATGCCGGCCACATGACCACGGAGACGTCTTCGGACAGCGCTGGCTCTTTGGCTTTGAAACGGAGATGAGCACCACCCCCTAGAGTCGGGAACGAGTAGCACACATGTGCGAGGGGAACCTTTTCCATTACCTTTATAGATAATTTGATTCAATAAGATAGTGCTTAATTTTTTTTTTATGAGAAGCATCCTGGTTATCACAGCGGCTTTCAATATGATCCATTTTTAAAGTCAAGACGGGGGGTTGTGATTCTGTCATGGTTTTACTCAGGGGTGAAATCTACTTACCTTCCTTACCGGTTCGGAAGTGCGTGCTCACATGCGCACTTGGACCCCCTGCACATGGGCAAAGCCTTCTGTGCATGCGCAGAGGTCAAAAACAGATTACTTCCTGGTTAAAACCAAGAAGTAACGACATCCAGAGAGGTGGGCAGAGCCTCAAGCTGCCACAACTACAAGTTCTCCGAACCAGTCCGAACCGGTAGCATTTCACCCCTGGTTTTACTCCTATTACTCAAATAGTAGCATACCTAAGGGCAGTAATCCTGGGGGGGCCACTTCAGTATCAAAGTTTGAATTGGACTAGAAGACTTCCAACTCTGTTACTCTATTATTCTATT